AGATGACAGAGAAGGGAAGTGACTAGTTAGGCTGAGTAGAGAGAGTGGTGAGCAGAGTGGAAGAAAATTAAGGTGGTAACCCGGTGGAGTGAGAGGCCCATGACATTGTGGAGGCCAGTTCATCTGATGCAGCACTCCATCACTCTCCTTCTTGGTAAAATAGCCCTTACACAGCCTGGAGGTGTGTTGGGTCATTGTCCTGTTGAAAAAGAAATGATAGTCCCACTAAGCCCAAACCAGATGGGATGGCATATCACTGCAGAATGTTGTGGTAGCCATGCTGGTTAAGTATACCTTGAATTCTAAATAAATCACAGACAGTGTAACCAGGAAAGCACCCCCACACCATAACACCTCTTCCTCCATGCTTTACGGCGGGAAAAACACATGCGGAGATCATCCGTTCACCTATACCGCGTCTCACAAAAACACGGCGGTTGGAACCAAAAATCCCCAATTTGGACTCCAGACCAAAGGACAATTTCCACCAGTCTAATGTCCAATGCTCGTGTTTCTTGGCCCAAGTAAGTCTCTTCTTATTATTGGTGTCTTTTAGTAGTGGTTTCTATGCGGCAATTTGACCATGAAGGCCTGATTCACACAGTCCCCTCTGAACAGTTGATGTTGAGATGTGTCTGTTACTTGAACTCTGTGAAGCATTTACAGTGCTCTGAAAAAGTATTTGCCCCCTTTCTAATTTTCTCTACTTTTGCATATTTGTGATACTGAATGTTATCAGATCTTCAACCAAAACCTAATATTAGATAAAGGGAACATAAGTGAACAAAGAACACAACAATTACATATTTATTTCATAAACAAAGTTATGCAACACCCAATTCCCCTGTGTGAAAAAGTAATTGCCCCCTTACACTCAATAACTGGTTGTGCCACCTCTGCTGCAATGTTGTTGATCAGTCTCTCACGTCGCTGTGGAGGAATTTTGGCCCACTCTTCCATGCAGAACTGCTTTAACTCAGTGACGTGTGGGTTTTCAAGCATGAACTGCTCGTTTCAAGTCCTGCCACAACATCTCAATTGGGATTAGGACCAAGCATCCCTAAACCATCACACCACCACCACCATGCTTGACCTTTGGTATGATGTTCTTACTGTGGAATGCAGAGTTTGGTTTTCGCCAGGCATTACTGGAACCATGTCGTCCAAAAAGTTATACTTTTGAATCATCTGTCCATAGAACGTTCTTCCAAGAGTCTTGATGATCATCCAGGTGCTTTTTGGCAAACTTGAGTCAACTTTTTGGACGAGATGGGTCCCATTATGCCTGGCGAAAACCAAACTCTGCATTCCACAGTAAGAACATCATACCAAAGGTCAAGCATGGTGGTGGTGGTGTGATGGTTTGGGGATGCTTTGCTGTCTTAGGACCTGTACGACTAGAAGGAACCATGAATTCTGCTCTGTATCAGAGAATTCTACAGGAGAATGTCAGACCATCCGTCTGTGAGCTGAAGCTGAAGCGCAGCTGGGTCATGCAGCAAGACAATGATCCAAAACACACAATCAAGTCTACATGAAAATTGTTAAAAAACAACAAATTGGAAGTTTTGGAATGGCCTAGTCAAAGTCCAGAAACGAGTAGTTCATGCTTGAAAACCCACACGTCACTGAGTTAAAGCAGTTCTGCATGGAAGAGTGGGCCAAAATTCCTCCACAGCGACGTGAGAGACTGATCAACAACTACAGGAAGCATTTGGTTGGAGTCATTGCAGCTAAAGGTGGCACAACCAGTTATTGAGTGTAAGGGGGCAATTACTTTTTCACACAGGGGAATTGGGTGTTGCATAACTTTGTTTATGAAATAAATGAAAAAAATATGTAATTGTTGTTATTTGTTCACTTATGTTCCCTTTATCTAATATTAGGTTTTGGTTGAAGATCTGATAACATTCAGTATCACAAATTTGCAAAAGTAGAGAAAATTAGAAAGGGGGCAAATACTTTTTCATAGCACTGTATTTGGGCTGCAATTTCTGAGGCTGGTAACTCTAATGAACTTATCCTCTGCAGCAGAGGTAACTCTGGGTCTTCCATTCCTGTGGCGATCCTCATGTGAGCCAGTTTCATCATAGCTCATGATGGTTTTTGAGAGTGCACTTGAAGAAACTTTCAAAGTTCTTGAAATGTTCCAGATTGACTGACCTTCATGTCTTAAAGTAATGATGGACTGCTGTTTCTCTTTACTTGTTTGAGCTGTTCTTGCCATAATATGGGCTTGTTCTTTTACCAAATAGGGCTATCTTCTGTATACCCCCCCCCCCCCCCCCCCCCCTACCTTGTCACAACACAACTGATTGGCTCAAACACATTAAGAAGGAAAGAAATTACACAAATTAACTTTTAAGAAGGCACACCTGTTAATTGAAATGCATTCCATCTCATGAAGCTGGTTGAGAGAATACCAAGAGTGTGCAAAGCTGTCATCAAGGCAAAGGGTGGCTATTTGAAGAATCTCAAATAAAAATATATTTTGATTTGTTTAACACTTTTTTGCTGACTACATGATTCCACGTGTTATTTCATAGTCGATGTCTTCACTATTATTCTACAATGTAAAAAATAGTCAAAATAAAGAAAAACCCTTGAATGAGTAGGTGTGTCCAAACATTTGACTGGTAGTGTACATTTTATGCAAACATATTTACAAATACTTTAGAGTATTAAATCAATAATTATAAACTATTAGGAATCTTCAGTGGTGATCAGTTACAATGGTGGAAACATTTCCAGTACTGACAGATGTATAACATACGGGAAATCCTGAAATATTTGGGGAAGGCAAGAAGTTTTTCACAAACCTATATGAATGCAATCGAGTTGAATATATCGCTTTGAAGTGAGGTAGCAACTTGTTTCCAATTCTGTAGAGATGTGCGCTACAGTACATTTTCAACAATGACACACTATTGGAGCAGCATAACATCCTTTAACAAACTCACTGAGCATAGTCAGTTAAAATTTGATGTTAAAGGGATACTTCGGGATTTTGACAATGAAGCCCTTTGTCTACTTTGCCAGTCTGATGAACTAATGGATACCATTTTTATGTCTCTGCATCCAGTATGAAATAAGTTAAAGGTAGTTTTGTGAGCCAACGCTAACTAGCGTTAGCGCAATGACTGGAAGTCTATGGGATCTAGTAGCATGCAAGCAGTTACCATAGACTTTCAGTCATTGCGCTAACGCTAGTTAGCAACTTCCTGAAGTATCCCTTTAAGCCCTTCACACCCTACCAGTGCATGCCTGAGAGATGGAAGAGGCAGTGCAAATTTCAACACATCTAAGGAAGTATATTTCTGTCTTTCTCCGAGTAGCATTTTGATAAACTAGGATATTAATACTCTGAGCGGTGAATCTTTCATAACTAGTACCTCTGTCATTGGTAGATAAAGATGAACAACAAGATTTGAAATGTAGCATTCATTTGAGGGAAGGAAACCTATACAGTTGTGAATTTCATTTTACAGGGAGGAAGTCCCTTTTCTTTAAATAAATAGCTGCACATATCAAAACAATCTGGTCTTATGGTGCAGATGTACAGTCAGGTCCAAAATTATAGGAACCCTTGATAAAGATGAGAAATAAATAATACAAATACCGAGGCTCTTTGGCCACGCACACCAGTTGTGGGTTTGGTGTCGAAAGAATGATGTGATAAGCAGAAAATAACACCATACCTATTGTAAAATATGGTTGTGGATATTTGATGTTATGGGGTTATTTTGCTTCTACTGGTCCTGGCGCCCTTGTTAAGGTCAACGGCGTCATTAACTTTACCCAGTACCAGGACATTTTAGCCAAAACACCTGATTGCACTCTGCCAGGAGGCTTAAACTTGGCCGCAAGTGGATCTTTCAGCAAGACAATAACCCCAAGCACACATCAGATTCCACAAAGAAATTGTTAATTGACCACAAAATCAACATTTTGAAATGGTCAACTCAGTCTCCGGACTTGAACCCCATTGAAAACCTGTGGTTTGAATGGAAGAGGGCAGTCCATAAGCGCAGACAAAGAATATCAAGGATCTGGAAAGATTCTGTATGGAGTAATGGTCTAAGATCACTCCCAATGTGTTCTCCAATCTCATAAAACATTTTAGGAAAAAGGCTCAGTGCCATTATCCTCGCAAGGTGAGGTATTGAAAGGTATTGAAAACGGGGCGCCAATAATTTTGGCCCCCATCTTTTTGGAGAAAAAAAAACAAGTATTACTTGTAATAAATTATCTTTCTCTGAGCAATTGTATTAGTATAAAATAATATAATTTCCCAAAAATGTTTTGCATACAATATAGCTCAGTATTTGCATTATTTATTTTATAAAGTCTTTATCAAGGGTGCTAATCATTTTGGACCCGACTGTACATGATTCAGTTGTGACACAAACATATTTATGTCGGGAGACATAAAAATAAAAATAAATCCTAAAAATAGCAAATCTCTCAATCCCAATGTGTCCACTGTTAATCATATTTTGCCTTTGAGTACAATGAGGTTCACCTTAAATACGGCCAATAATATGGCACTGAAAATCTTGAATTCTGTTTGAAAGTTTGCTTTGAACTCAGATAAATATGTCCTGGGACACTGTACTATGCTAAGTCCACCCAAACCTCCCCTCTGCCTAGGCTACATGATTGTTGTGGTGTGGTGTGTTGTGCCGAGACAGGTGTTAGGTTAAGAGGTTGCCTGCCACTGCCTATTGGGCCAGTTTCTCCTTAACTGGGGACAGCTCCTCAGATGCGTCCCCTTTCTCCTGGTTCCAATCCTTCAGGCCCTCTGGCAGGCTGGTGTCCTCTTCAAAACTGCCCGTCCCCTCCACAAACTCCTCATATGTCGACTTCTCCTCAAACGGCCGCGGCCCCAGCAGCTCTAGCATGTCCGCCTTGTTCAGGACCTCCTTCTCTAGGAGACGCTTCCCCACCTAGGAAGAGGATAGAAGAACAATGATGTCGCAGTGAGCTCAGTGACATTCATCACACTTCAGGATGGACATGGGTAAGAGCCAGATAGCAGCTCTAGGGACTACTAGGTTTATGTTTTAGCTCAGCAAGAAAACAGAATGTAGATGGGTGTACCCTTGATAAGACAGCATGAAAAGTACTCTGAAAACCTTGGGACTACGTGATGTTCATGTAGGTCAATGCAATTCTCACCATGTCCACACACTCCCTCTTGTCCATAATGAGCTCCATGGTCCTCTGGTAGGCGCTGTCCACCAGGTCTCTGACCTCCTGGTCTATGAGCTCTGCCGTGGCTTCGCTGTAAGGCTTCTCCATCACCATCTCCCCCTGCCGAGGCAGGTCAAACGACACCTGGCCCACCTTCTCACTCATCCCGAACTGCACTATCTTGAGGCCGGAAGTGATGTGGGGGATCATAAATACAACAGGTACTATGACATAATAAACAGTAACACTTCCCAAAACAAATTCCTATCAACATTGTTGAATCGTAACCATTGCTTTTTTTTTTTACCATTGCTTTTTTTCTGACTGTATCTGGGGATTCATTTTAAAAGCTCTGGGCCCAGTTTTTCAAAAGTGATCTATCTAGATTTCACCTATCGGATAGGATTAAACACATAGAAATAGAATGAATAGAACAGACAAATCATTGACTTAAATGGGGACTCCTGTTTTATTTATTGTATTTCTATGCATTTAATCCTATTCGATAGGCAAAATCCAGATACATTTTTTTGTGTGAGGAATTTTCATTGTTGGACATAAAAGACTGTAAAAACACCAGGAAATCAGCTCTGTTTGGGCTTCTTGCGGTCAATTTGCAGTTTACAAATTATATGTAATTAGGTTCCAGCCCCCTGACCATCCGCTCCCAAAAAATGTATATCTAGTTCATGATCCCTGCAGTACAGTACCTGTGCGTAGGCTGACTGGGTGACCTTCTTCAGGTCGTCCTGAGCTCCTGTGGTGATCTTCCCAAAGAAGACCTGTTCAGCCACACGCCCTCCCAGCATCATACACATCCTGTCAAACAGCTGTTCCCGCGTGTACAGGTACTGCTCCCTGGGAAGGTACTGGGCGTAGCCTAACCCCTTCCCTCTGGGGATGATGGACACCTAGAGGAACAGAAGAGGGACACATGGCATTAGAATAGTGAAAGTAAATCCACTTTACAAATCCAGCTCTTTCTAAATCCAGGGTTCATACACATTTTGACAGATGGAATTTCTTGACTTCTCCATCACTTTTAACCAAAATTCCATGACCAACAATTGGCAGCGTCTCTATGCAAGTATAAAAAAAAGTAAGCATATCGACACTGGTAGGGATGCTCTCTGATCCCATGTACCATCTCCTGTCGTTGTGCAAGGCACTTAACGCCCCACAAAGCAGAATGCCTGTTAGGCAACTGTCTAAAACACATTTAGTCAACCCTCAGTCTGGAGAGCTACTGGATGTGCAGGCTTTTGATCAAGCCCTGCTCAAACACATCAGAGCCAGTTTATCAAGGTCTGGTTGAGCAGCAAATTTCTAAAATGTGGTTTGTTAGAGGGGGACTGAAATAAAAGCCTGCACACCCATTAACTCTCCTGGAGGATGGTTGACCACCCTTGATGTATAACATTGCAACATTACAACCAAATACATTTTATGCCTTTTGAAATAATTCGCTCATTCAATATATCAAAAATCAAATGGCTATGGTTGGCTACAAATCACTTTATTCAGCTGAAGCAAGACCACCATTTTTCTTCTAGTTAAGTCATATTTATCTTAGCTACCTTAGTGTTTACTTTGCAGGCTGACTAGCATCTATTGAGTTGCAATGTCCCATACATTGGATTCCCAAATCAACTGAAAGTACATACTGTGAGCGAAAAAAGTATTTGATCCCCTGCTGATTTTGTACGTTTGCCCAATGACAAAGACATGATCAGTCTATAATTTTAATGGTAGGTTTATTTGAACAGTGAGAGACAGAATAACAACAACAAAATCCAGAAAAACGCATGTCAAAAATGTTATAAATTGATTTGCATTTTAATGAGGGAAATAAGTATTTGACCCCTCTGCACATGACTTAGTACTTGGTGGCAAAACCCTTGTTGGCAATCACAGAGGTCAGACGTTTCTTGTAGTTGGCCACCAGGTTTGCACACATCTCAGGAGGGATTTTGTTCCACTCCTCTTTGCAGATCTTCTCCAAGTCATTAAGGTTTCGAGGCTGACGTTTGGCAACTCAAACCTTCAGCTCCCTCCACAGATTTTCTATGGGATTAAGGTCTGGAGACTGGCTAGGCCACTCCAGGACTTTAATGTGCTTCTTCTTGAGCCACTCCTTTGTTGCCTTGGCCGTGTGTTTTGGGTCATTGTCATGCTGGAATACCCATCCACGACCCATTTTCAATGCCCTGGCTGAGGGAAGGAGGTTCTCACCCAAGATGTGACGGTACATGGCCCCGTCCATCGTCCCTTTGATGCGGTGAAGTTGTCCTGTCCCCTTAGCAGATAAACACCCCCAAAGCATAATGTTCCCACCTCCATGTTTGACGGTGGGGATGGTGTTCTTGGGGTCATAGGCAGCATTCCTTCTCCTCCAAGCACAGCGAGTTGAGTTGATGCCAAAGAGCTCAATTTTGGTCTCATCTGACCACAACACATTCACCCAGTTCTCCTCTGAATCATTCAGATGTTCATTGGCAAACTTCAGACGGCCCTGTATAGTGCTTTCTTGAGCAGGGGGACCTTGCGGGTGCTGCAGGATTTCAGTCCTTCACGGCGTAGTGTGTTACCAATTGTTTTCTTGGTGACTATGGTCCCAGCTGCCTTGAGATCATTGACAAGATCCTCCCGTGTACTTCTGGGCTGATTCCTCACCTTTCTCATGATCATTGCAACTCCACGAGGTGAGATCTTGCATGGCGCCCCAGGCCGAGGGAGATTGACAGTTATTTTGTGTTTCTTCCATTTGCGAATAATCGCACCAACTGTTGTCACCTTCTCACCAAGCTGCTTGGCGATGGTCTTGTAGCCCATTCCAGCCTTGTGTAGGTCTACAATCTTGTCCCTGACATCCTTGGAGAGCTCTTTGGTCTTGGCCATGGTGGAGAGTTTGGAATCTGATTGATTGCTTCTGTGGACAGGTGTGTCTTTTATACAGGTAATAAACTGTGCTCCTAATCTCAGCTCGTTACCTGTATAAAAGACACCTGGGAGTCAGAAATCTTTCTGATTGAGAGGGGGTCAAATACTTATTTCCCTCATTAAATTGCAAATCAATTTATAACATTTTTGACATACATTTTTCTGAATTTTGTTGTTATTCTGCCTCTCACAGTTCAAATAAACCTACCATTAAAATTATAGACTGATCATTTCTTTGTCAGTGGGCAAACGTACAAAATCAGCAGAGGATCAAATATTTTTTTCCCTCACTGTATCTGCAAATCAAGTTGAAGCCACATAATCAAAAATAAATGCTACATCTAATCTTTCTTCCTAAAATTACTGTTCCAATTCACAAATCACTTTTTTGATTCACATGATTCGATTCACTGCGATTTAACAGAATCCGAACTAATACAATGGTGAAGTGAATCATTTGTTTCATCAAAAAGAATCACTTAAAAGAATCATATGAATCTTTCCAAAAAGTAAATCAACTTGTATGGCCTTATTTGCGAGTGTCAGTGGAAGGTTTTGTTGGGGAATGACATGACGAAAACATTAAGACAGTTAACTAGCGGGTACAAGATATCTTTTGAATTGGCTACGTTGTTATTAGTCTGTTCTTTATCCTATTTTATAGGCATACCTGCTGCTGCAATGTCCAACTGTCTCTCCCTCTTTGTCTCTCCCTACTGTCATGTACTGTATGTGTAAACTGATAGATGCACACACACTACATGTCAATGTTTTTAAATGTATGTAAATTGTCAAGTATTTTGTCTGTAATGTCTTTTTCGTCATGTGTCGGACAGTATTTCCGTTAGCCGGTAATAGCTGGCTTTCATTAAAAAATATATTATGAAAAGCCGATAAATACAATTGGAGATGGTCAATTGTCCGAGAGCAAAAATAAATAGCATAGCGAAACAATGCATTTGAACCTATTCATTGATTGAAATACCAGTCGATGTAGCGTGAGAGCTGCTGATACAGCTCAAACAGCTGTTTGTCGATGCTGGAGTGAAATGTGTGCTTTAATAAGCCCAATCATTGCACAACAATTCTAAAGGCAATCACATGTAACAAAATAAAAAAAATAAAAATAAAAAAAAAAAAAAAAACAACAATGGCCACGATTAAAAAGAGCTACTATTTATTTTCTTAACTGGTAAATTGAAACACGCTTCCCATTCGCCATTCAAGTGCATAGGCAACTAGCGCAGGCTTCAGCGCGTCACACACCACTTTGCAATGAGCTGGAGACATATGCTTAAGTGTTTGAAACCTGAACGTTTTACTACATATTATGAGGCATCTTACCTTGCTTCAAAGTAGCCTAGCCAAAATCCAACCAAACCTGCAGGCAATCATTTCATTTTATAAAGACTTCCATATGCCATTGAAACAAGTAATAGCCTTTTTCTCTCATATTCTATTGGTTTTCAAATCAACTTTCTTTCATTTTCCAGTAGCCAATGGCACAAACCTAGTCATACCCATGCTAGTTGTTGCATATTTAGATATTCCCTCTTTCTACATTTCCAACTGATATTTTCATCTCGGTCACATGAAACAACTCACAATGGTGTTTTCCCACTAGTTGCATTATGGAACAAACATTCCCGTGTTACCTACTGCCTTGTGCGCATTGCTGAACTTATAATGTGACGAAATAATAGTTTATCATTATTTTAAGCTATCTGATCTGTTGCATAAGCCTGATTGATTTGTAATGTTGTCTGCATTTAGCCCATAGGCCTTCTGGTTGTATGAATTTGGGATCTATTATCCGAAACTGTCCCAGAGTCTGTTTGGAATAGGCTATTTCATTCCAGCACAGAACGACAAGCATGGGATATGTAAACTTTTCTACTATGGGGGATAGTAGATTGACATAGGCTAGTGATTTTGATGTTTGTTACTCGTTTGTTGGTTGAGGAAAAGTAAATGTGGACAGTTATTCTAACATAGGTGGTGAGTGGGTTTCAAGTTTGGGGAAGCTAATAAATGCCCATTTATAATAAAGCATTCCATGCATCCTCACATTTGCAGACTTATGTAAGATAGTCTATTATTCCTAATGTGATGATTAGATAGTCATAATTTAGGCTAATAATATAACTCAATCACTGTTCGCAAAAAAAATAGTGGCATAGAGTAGGCCTAGGCTGTATCACAGGAAAATGTTGGCCTTTCATAAACACATTTCAAGCAATTCTACTACATTTTATGACTGGAGACATTAGCAGAATCTTTTTTAATATAATAAAAATTACAGGCTAGCCTACTCTGGGCCTAAGAAAAGAGGAGACAAATGCAATATGACGTCCATCTAACCTGGAGGAAGAAATTATTGTCCAAAAACAAACAAAAGTGGCACTGACCCAATGATAAAGACAGTGAATATGCACACTCACTAGGGATATGGCCGATGTTCTCCGCTGGTGCCAATAAAATAGGCTACTTTTCGCTCAATTAAGTTGAAAATTTTGATAATTAAAAGACAGATTGGAGTCTTTTCATTGTCTTCTATTTACAGCAATAGCCATTTTATTTTCCAAACAGTTTTTCCCGTGATTGTATTTTTAATATTGCAATATGCCTGGCTGGGTCTCTCTGCTTTACATGGACAGTCGGAACGCAACAATAATCTAGTCGGTATTTGCTGCTCCCTCTGCCCAAATTGCGGCCCCTTTCCGACTGTAGGCTATGCGATTTAAGATTTAAGAAGCTAATGATCCTCTGTGGCCAAATCATGCTTTCTAGTGTAGTACCCTATTTTTTTATAATTTTATTTATTTCTGTATAGACAGGAGTAAGTTATTTAGGCTTTATAATTTTGGCAATTTAATTCAATTGACTTTAGGGAAAGCCTCCCCTAGCCTTATGCACGTGCCGCCTATGTATTCTAACATCGGAATTCGGTATGAATGATGCACACCGTTGAATCGGAGTTGCATGTTCTGTTAAGGTTAATTACCATAAACTAAATGTGATTTCTGGCATTCTGAGCAATGTGGGTGGACGCCCTAATCAGGTTGCGCAACCAATGCATATGGATCCGGTACATTTCTTAAATATCCGGTAAATTACAGGCACCACATTTTCCTAACAGAAACCCTGGTGTCAGACCCCAGTAAGACCAGTTGTCACCATTGGCGTGCAAATGGGAATCCTAATAAATCAAATCAAAACCTTGAACAACGGCCCACTCGTATCGCACACATGCATGTGATGCTCTAGTTTTAATATCTATGGGTGATGCGCGCATTTTCCAAAACGTTCCAGGCCTGGATGCATTAAAGTGTAATTCGGATCCTGGCTGATATGTTGACTTTTATTTATTTGATTAATAAAATATTATAAAACAGTACGTAAATAAATTACATTAAGAGAAATAATTAAATACAAATACATTTCCATTACTTTTGCTACACTTTTCAGGTTTGATCATTTTCCAAAACGTTCCAGGCCTGGAAAACACAATTAAAAAATTCCATGTTTATTCATGACACCTTCTAATCTCATTGTATCCACATGTGTGGTTGAATTGTGTTTTAAATAAATCACATCAAATCATAGCCCAACACTGTGGCTGGGCTTCCATAAAACTCACTCTGTGAGAGGCCCTCACTGCAGAGAGAAAACATTGAAGTCGAACCTACAAAATGTGATTTATCAACCTTCGAGTGTACGTTTGATTGAATTGGGCCATTAAGCACCTCATGAAATGACGCAAGCCTCAACGTCCACACAAAGAGGCCACTGCAGACTGCTACCCGTCATGGGGATCTAGTTAGCTCTTCAGACTCATGGTTGTACAGTATAATGACTTCTAAGAAGTCTAACAGGTCTCCTTTTATTGATTCCAATTGTTCATTGTGTAGGTCAGAGGCCAAACAGCTGGCCTCTAATCACAACAACATACACTAGTGGAGGGTGCTGATGAGTTGTTTATAGTATACAGTACTCATAAAAAAACGTTTTTTTTTTTTTAAATAGTAATAATATTTATTTGTTTGGCAGCCCCCGACCAAATAAATAGATAAACAAAGCAACGCCTTTAAAGAGGGCATTACCTTCAGCAGTGGGTCAGCATGTTGCAGGAACCAGCCCACTATTGCATGCCCAGCCTCATGGTACGCTACAGTCTTCTTCTCATTGGGCTGCAGCACCTGGGTCTTCTTCTCAAGACCTACAGAGAGAGAGAGAGAGAGAGAGAGAGCGAGCAAGAGGAGAGAGAAATAAATAATGGTGAAGATATACTACTGTTGTTCCCATCGAAGCCCCACCCCATCCTCCTAAATATGTAACATTTACAAAGCAGAGACCACACAATAAGAGAAGGTGCTGGAAGACATTGTACCCACCTCCGATGACCCTGTCAATGGCCTGCTCAAAGTGTTTTCCTTCCACATGTGGATTGAGGTGTCTAGCAGCGATTAGGGCAGCCTCGTTGCACACATTAGCTATGTCGGCTCCTGGTGAAGACAGAGAAGATGTTTAAAAATATAAGACATCAAGATAATCAACATGGCATCTTCTCACACAGAGCAGCTCAACTTGCCAGTGAAGCCTGGTGTGGCGGCAGCCATCTTCCTGGCCAATCCGTCTTTGTCCATAGCAGGGTCCAGTTTAATGGGCCGTAAGTGCACTTTGAAGATGGACGCCCTGCCTTTGATGTCAGGTGGGCCTGAAACATGGACATGTATTGAATTTTATGAAATGCTCATATAGTCTGCTGATTATGAAATTGTTATGCATGGGTTATAAATGTGTTATGAATTCCTTATGTAGGTTTACATAAAGTCTTACTGAATGGTATTAGATGTCAATATGAATATCAATATGCAGTACGTTGACATAACACTGAAATTACCACAGCACACTATGTTGCCAGAGCTACAGTTTAATTTAAAGATTCCATACCTATGTAAATCTGCCTGTCAAATCTGCCAGGCCTCATGAGTGCAGGATCCAAGATGTCCGGTCTGTTGGTACCCGCCAGGACAACCACGTTAGTGCTGGTATTGAACCCTAGAAGAAAAATACCAGGGAATTACTCTTACAGTATATGCATTAAAGTTCATAAAGTAAACATTTTAGCGTAATGGCGGACAATAACAGCTTTATAACAATGAAATCACAGAGTAACAATGTCACATAAGAGTTTTCATAAACAGGGGACACATATCTGAGATTAACAAACATTATGATAGTGAGTGTGATAGTTTCCCCATGTAATTTCACCCATATCTTAACCATACTTACCATCCATCTCCACTAGCAGCTGGTTGAGAGTGTTCTCCTGCTCACTCTGGCCCCCAAAGTTTCCCCCGCCCCTCTTGCGGCCCACCGCGTCTATCTCATCTATGAACAGGATACAGGGAGCATTCTTCCGGGCCATGGCAAACATGTCTCTCACCTACAGGGAGAAAACACAGTCAATACTAGGTCCCTAAAACAGCTTCATTCACATCCTCTGAGTAAGCAAAGTATTTCCAGTAAAATGGATTGAAATGTATCCCTGTGGTTAGCTAGCTATAGCTATTTTCAGCTATAATCTAAAATGCATATAATTTTATTTGAAACGGATGTTATGAAGTCAGCTGTAAGTGTTTCCTCTGGCTCTATTGTGTACTCACCCTGGCAGGCCCAACACCCACAAACATCTCCAGGAACTCAGAGCCGTTGACTGTGATGAAGGGGACGTTGGCTTCTCCTGCTGTGGCTTTGGCCAGCAGGGTCTTGCCTGTGCCTGGAGGTCCAGAGAGCACAGCACCCTGAGAACACACAGCACAACACACATCCATGAGATTTAAAATACCTGAAATTGTGCCTGATTTATGAAAGTCTAAAGGGACATTCATTTGTGATGGGTTGTGAAATGTCAGCATACTACATCTAAAATCAAAACACATTTTCTCCCTTGACGTTACATTGAAAGGTGTTTCAGGACTAGTGTGACTGCTGTCGTCCCATCAAAATGAAAGGTGATTGGGGAGTAGTATGACTGCTGTTGTCCCATCCCTTACCTTTGGAATCTTGGCCCCCAAGTCCAGGTACTGCTGGGGGTTCTTCAGGAAGTTAACAAACTCCATGATCTCCAGCTTGGCCTCCTCACAGCCGGCCACGTCCTTGAACTTGGTGTTGATGTTGTCTTTCATCATCTTCGCTGTTGATTCACTCATGCTGAATGGACCGCCTCTTCCACCCCCAGCACCTCCTCCCATTGGTCCCCGTCGCAGGGTGAAGAGCAGGAAACCAATCAACAGCAGGGTGGGGATCACGCTCATCAATAATGTCCTGTAGAAGGTAAAATGATGATAGTTTAAACGTCAGCTTGTTATGCAGTTTTGTTTGGAATGACAACAAATGAAAAAGTAAGGGAAGAGATGGTTGTGACAGAGTAGGAACCAAAGTGTTGGTCAGCGTTTCTCATGGAAACCTAATTAGATTGAAATAGATGGGTACATTCAGAAAAATATTTTAAAATATTCTTTGCCTTTTCCTCTCTGATTAAGAACACACTGTTGCACAAACAATGCTGATATACTCCACCACTGGTACCAGCCTGTATTAGAGCAAACGTTTGCTAGCAGGATTTGCCCTATCAGTGGATTTAGCTAGACAGCTACAGTGAGGGAAAAAAGTATTTGATCCCCTGCTGATTTTGTACGTTTGCCCACTGACAAAGAAATTATCAGTCTATAATTTTAATGGTAGGTTTATTTGAACAGTGAGAGACAGAATAACAACAAAAAAATCCAGAAAAACGCATGTCAAAAATGTTATAAATTGATTTGCATTTTATTGAGGGAAATAAGTATTTGACCCCCTCTCAATCAGAAAGATTTCTGGCTCCCAGGTGTCTTTTATACAGGTAACGAGCTGAGATTAGGAGCACACTCTTAAAGGGAATGCTCCTAATCTCAGTTTGTTACATGTATAAAAGACACCTGTCCACAGAAGCAATCAATCAGATTTCAAACTCTCCACCATGGCCAAGACCAAAGAGCTCTCCAAGGATGTCAGGGACAAGATTGTAGACCTACACAAAGCTGGAATGGGCTACAAGACCATCGCCAAGCAGCTTGGTGAGAAGGTGACAACAGTTGGTGCGATTATTTTCAAATGGAAGAAACACAAAAGAACTGTCAATCTCCCTCGGCCTGGGGCTCCATGCAAGATATCACCTCGTGGAGTTGCAATGGTCATGAGAACGGTGAGGAATCAGCCCAGAACTACATGGGAGGATCTTGTCAAAGATCTCAAGGCAGCTGGGACCATAGTCACCAAGAAAACAATTGGTAACACACTACGCCGTGAAGGACTGAAATCCTGCAGCGCCCGCAAGGTCCGCCTGCTCAAGAAAGCACATATACAGGCCCATCTGAAGTTTGCCAAGTAACATCTGAATGATTCAGAGGAGAACTGGGTGAAGGTGTTGTGGTCAGATGAGACCAAAATGGAGCTCTTTGGCATCAACTCAACTCGCCGTGTTTGGAGGAAGAGGAATGCTGCCTATGACCCCAAGAACACCATCCCCACCGTCAAACATGGAGGTGGAAACATTATGCTTTGGGGGTGTTTTTCTGCTAAGGGGACAGGACAACTTCACCGCATCAAAGGGACGATGGACGGGGCCATGTACCGTCAAATCTTGGGTGAGAACCTCCTTCCCTCAGCCAGGGCATTCAAAATGGGTGTTGGATGGGTATTCCAGCATGACAATGACCCAAAACACACAGCCAAGGCAACAAAGGAGTGGCTCAAGAAGAAGCACATTAAGGTCCTGGAGTGGCCTAGCCAGTCTCCAGACCTTAATCCCATAGAAAATCTGTGGAGGGAGCTGAAGGTTCGAGTTGCCAAACGTCAGCCTCGAAACCTTAATGACTTGGAGAAGATCTGCAAAGAGGAGTGAGACAAAATCCTTCCTGAGATGTGTGCAAACCTGGTGGCCAACTACAAGAAACGTCTGACCTCTGTGATTGCCAACAAGGGTTTTGCCACCAAGTACTAAGTCATGTTTTGCAGAGTGGTCAAATTCTTATTTCCCTCATTAAAATGCAAATCAATTTATAACATTTTTAACATGCGTTTTTCTGGATTTTGTTGTTGTTATTCTGTCTCTCACTGTTCAAATAAACCTACCATTAAAATTATAGACTGATCATTTCTTTGTCAATGGGCAAACGTACAAAATCAGCAGGGGATCAAATACTTTTTTCCCCTTACTGTATATAGTGATTAGCATTAGGGGCTAACACAAAGAAAATTGGGCACATTTGCAGCTTGCTAACACCAACTAATTAGCGTTTTGCAGAGAGCAAGTTACACAAACGAATAGTAAAATATAGAAAACTTGGATTTATATTAAAGAGATTCTCCGGTACTTTTGCACACTTTTTAGCCAGTAGTTCTGAAAGTATACTGAACCAAAAAATGTAACGCAACATGCAACAATTTTAAAGATTTTTATGAGTTACAGTTCATATAAGAAAATCTGTGAATTTAAATTAATTAATTAGGCCCTCATCTATGGATTTCACATGACTGGGCAGGGGTGCAGCCATGGATGGGCCTTGGAAGGCATTGGCCCACCCACTTGGGAGCCAGGCCCAGCCAATCAGAATGAGTTTTTCCTCACAAAAGGGCTTTATTACAGATGATCCCACAGTTGAAGAAGCCGGATGTGGAGGTCTTGGGCTGGCGTTACACATGGTCTGTGGTTATGGTAGACAAATTAATATTAAATTCTCTGGCAACATTCTCTGCAGTCAGCATACAAATTGCACGCACCCTCAAAACTAGAGACATCTGTGGCATGGTGTTGTATGACAAAACTGCACATTTTAAAGTGGCCTTTTATTGTCTCCAGCACAAGGTGCACCTGTGTAATGATCATGCCGTTTAATCAGCTTCTTGATATGCCACACCTGTCAGATGGATGGATTATATTGGCAAAGGAGAAATGCTCACTAACAGGGATATTTAAAAAATGGTGCATACAGTTTGAGAAATAAGCTTTTTGTGCATATGGAACATTTATGGGATTTTTTATATCAGCTCATGTTTGGGGACCAACAATTTACATGTTGCATTTATATTTTTGTTCAGTGTAGCATTCATGAGCCAAAAGTGGTCCCCAAAAATGGGGTATTACATCACATACTGTATGTGCAGATATGTGCGCCACGTCATTGCTCTGCTGTGTGTGCATCTTGCTAGCTGTCACTCAAATGGCGAGGGGCTGAAGCTCATTGGCTGAAACTCAAATTGCTAGGGGGCTGGCCCACATGGGGGAAAATGTAGGGGAAATGGCGCCGCACATCTTTCAGAAAACAGTCGCTTTCAAACTTGGGATTTTGTGGCTAATTGAGGTAAGACTGCAATTCTACTCATATATTACGCATGTATGAACTACACATTAACACATCCAGCCCAAAGCGGGAGGTTAGAAAAAGACTTACTAGTCACCAAAGTTCTGGAGCATTTCTTTAAAGAAGCAAAGTGGAAAGCTGTCACTGCATGGTGTTTGGTCAATGCATGCAGAGTGAATCTCGAGCACGAGGAACTGCCAGTTGAGTGACAGGGGACGGGGCTTGGTGTGTGTGGGATTGGGAAGCGGTCAAAAGAGGAGAGACAGATAGAGAACTCCAACTCGAGCAATAAATCAAAAGTAAAAAAATAAAATAAAAATAAAAGGTGTTACAGACGGCTAAGTGGTGTTTCAAAATATCGCAGCGATATGGATAAAAATGTATGCACGCATGACTGTAAATCGCTTTGGATAAAAGCGTCTGCTAAATGGCATATTATTATATTATTTATGTCAATATCGCAATTTTTATTAAAATGTGATTAATCATGCAGCGCTTGTGTGTGTGTATTAACTCACCCGTCACTTTCTGAGCTGTACACGACAGCTGCCCTATGAGAGGACTCCACGCCCAGCTCATGGTGAGCCGCCTCCAAGTTCCTCTCGAAGGTGTCCACACTACCGATGTTAAACCACACATAGCTCTGGGGAAAGACCACCAATACACGTCAATAATGTCAACCCCTTCAATAAGACTACAGCTTCCAATATATCCACAAAACATTCATCCTGAGTGAATCTCTATTTATCAAGTGAGTCATCATGCTATCATCTAAAGTTTGTCATTGATTCAGTTCCAGAGAATGGTCTGTTTTCACCTACCGCATCAGCCTCTGCTCCCGGTACTAGAATGACTCTCACATACTGTTTGTTGACAACCTCTAAACGGTCAACCTGTGAAGAGAACAGACTGCTTAGGAAGGTCTAGTTGCAACAAGAAAAAACTATGACAAATCAATGGAAACTAAAAAATAAGTTCTGTAACTGAGCAATCACATCACCTTGGCATTACAATTGTATTAATAATCAGCATGTATTTCCATATACACTGCTCAAAAAAATAAAGGGAACACTTAAACAACACAATGTAACTCCAAGTCAATCACACTTCTGTGAAATCAAACTGTCCACTTAGGAAGCAACACTGATTGACAATACATTTCACATGCTGTTGTGCAAATGGAATAGACAAACCAGGTGAGAAATTATAGGCAACTTAGCAAGACACTCCCCAATAAGAGCTGGGTTTGCAGGTGGTGACCACAGACACTTTCTCAGTTCCTATGCTTCCTGGCTGATTGTTTGGTTACTTTGAATGCTGGGGTGCTTTCACTCTAGTGGTAGCATGAGACGGAGTCTACAACCCACACACCAAGTGGCTCACCGGTACATAGCGATGTGGCAAGCTCTTCACGTGTGTCCAAGCATGGAGGCTCAAGGAGACAGGTCAGAAAAGGAGCCGTAGGGGACACACCCAGCAGGACTGTACTGCCTTGTGCAGGAGGACGAGGAGCACCCGAGCCCTGCAAATGACCTCAGCGGATCAAAGTGTGGTCGAAACGACTCCTAGGGTGTAGAGGGCCCGAGTCACAGGTGTGCTTACAGCCCAACACCGTGCAGGACGTTTGCATGTGCCAGAGAACACCAAGATGGGCAAATTCGCCATTCTGGGCGCCTGTGATCTTCCCAGATGAAAGCAGGTTCACACTGAGCACATGTGACAGACGTGACAGAGTCTGGAGATGCCGTGGAGAACGTTCTGCTGCCTGCAACATCCTCCAGCATGACCGATTTGGCGGTGGGTCAGTCATGGTGTGGGGTGGCATTTCTTTGAGGGGCCGCACAGCCCTCCATGTGCTCGCCAGAGGTAGCCTGACTGCCATTAGGTACCGAGATGAGATCCTCAGACCCCTTGTGAGACCATATGCTGGTGCGGTTGGCCCTGGGTTCCTCGTAATGCAAGACAATGCTAGACCTCATGTGGCTGGAGTGTGTCAGCAGTTCCTGCAAGACGAAGGCATTGATGCTATGGACTGGCCCACCTGTTCCCCAGACCTGAATCCAATTGAGCACATCTGGGACATCATGTCTCGCTCCATCCACCAACGCCACGTTGCACCACAGACTGTCCAGTGGTTGGCGGGTGCTTTAGTCCAGGTCTGGGAGGAGATCCCTCAGGAGACCATCCGCCACCTCATCAGGAGCATGCCCAGCCGTTGTAGGGAGGTCATACAGGCACGTGGAGGCCACACACACTACTGAGCCTCATTTTGACTTGTTTAAAGGACATTACATCAAAGTTGGATCAGCCTGTAGTGTGGTTTTCCACTTTAATTTTGAGGGTGACTCCAAATCCAGACCTCCATGGGTTGATAAATTTGATTTCCATTGATAATTCTTGTGTGATTTTGTTGTCAGCACATTCAACTATGTAAAGAAAAAAGTATTTAATAAGATTATTTAATTCATTCAGATCTAGGATGTGTTATTTTAGTGTTCCCTTTATTTTTTTGAGCAGTGTACATTATCCTCACTGAATTGTTGTATTTTGTTCTCACCATTCCTCTGCCAAGGTAGCGATGGACAAAGTCCTTCCAGGTGATCTCCTTGCCTGTGTCCCTGAACTGATAGTAGAGTGTGGCAGAGGATATCCCAGCTACCAACACTGCCAGGGCGCGGAACTCCTTCTCATCCCATGGGATGTCTCCCTAGTAAGGCAGAGGAAAGGGTCAACATGGGAGAAAAATAAAATAATTTGCATCATGTTGCGGTATCTGCATTCAGTGCCACAGAAAGTCACACACATATGTAAACATCCCTCAGAATAGGGCAGTGGTTCCCAACATTTTTCCGTTACTGTACCACCAACTGACTTTTGCTCTGCCCGGAGTATACCCTCAAGTGCATTTTACCAGTAAGCCTATGGTCTCATGAGTCTTCTCAAGTACCTCTGGTTAGGAACCACTGGAATAGGGAGTAATATTGTAAGAGAGACCATTCACATCACATACCTTCTGCATGCGGCTCCACCAATCTTTTCCTGCTCCTCTTTTCCCGCCACCTCCACGGCCTCCACTGCCATCTGATTCCTTCCCTTTACCATCTGCCAATCAAAAGTGAATGATAGCATTATGATGATCCAGCCAGTGTTGGTTAATAGAGCCCATCTAGGTTGGCAGATCGAGTCAGGGCAACCTGGGTAACCTAGCTTGATGCTTAGACCAATCTTTATGAGTAAGATCTTACTCACATCAAAATATGTTAATTCAGATCAACTTTGCATTAGACTGCATAGTTCTGCAGTTCATGATTTCATGTAGCTAACACAGGACATTTCTTAGACACGACTCTTACCTTTTGGCGGCTCAGTGGAGTATAGTCGTCCATTAGATGAATAAAATCCATGAGATGACAATAATTTATTTTGAGCAAGAATCTGAAGAGGAAAGCATGACATCAGGATTATGGGAAAGATTTGGAGTTATCATTGCTAATTTAGCTAGCTAATTTGGCTAGTCTGTTGACCTACTGCCTAGTAGTAGCTAGGCTAGCTAGTTAATAGACATAGTCCTGACAGTCATATAACATATCTAGCCACAGATTGTATATTGTGACGTTATAGAACTAGCTAGCTAGAATGGCTAATTAGCGTACACCTAATTTCAGTTGGCTGAATAATCACATAACAAAACAACCTTACCCTGACAGAAGAGCCACGGAAGACGGGCAGCACAGATACATTCCTTGCTGCCACCACTGAACTGCGTACACAAGCTCTTACTGCAATCTGTAAAGGAAAAGCAGCCGTCGAGAGAAGCCCCAACATTTGAGCCATTCTCCGGCTGCCACTTGCCGTCCACTCTGAGAAATAATATCTGATTTTCTTGATATTCTGTCCTCTTACACTTCATCAGTGTTACAGTATTAGATAACAGCCATAGTGCTTAGTTACATACTGCAAGAATGTCAACCAGAGTGTATGACCATTGAGGACCCCAATAAGCTGACCATAATTATGCCTGAGACAATTTATGTTGGAAATGGACATTATTGTTAGGGTATGGTCGACAATTGAATTTAAAATGTAAGCATATTCAAAATACAATGCAAAAAGGATACGAAGTGTTCAATAGTTACAAGTGTACAGGTTTAATTAATTGTATTTAATGTATGCGCGAATACGACGACTTTGGGTCCTTCTGCAGAGCTCGATCTTGTTCTGTGATTGGCTGATAAACACACACGAACTTTCATCATGGACAAGCAATTTGACAGGTAGATCATACAACAGACAAAAATATTAAATATCCAGCAAGTAATAAACACACAGGTAGCAGCAGTTTTCAGTAACTTAAATGTCCGTGATATCATTTTGTTTTGCCACCATATGACTTCAGTTTATCATCATCATCAAGACTTTTTCAAACACCAATTTTTAGGAAATATTAGGAAAAATACAACTTAAACTTCAGTAAGTTTGGCTTACTCTGATAGTGTGCTATTTGTTCTTTATTCAAATATGTGTACATAAAAATAACATGTAATTATGGCAAAAAACAAGATTCAGCAAAGGTTAAGCGTTGCGGTAATGAGATAAATTACAAAATAAATTTAAATAATTTAATTTGAAATATATTGGTTTTCAGTGTTATGTTTAACTCAGGCCTTTTCATTAGGTGGGCAATGTTTAAAAAATATTAGGAATATGATTTGTTTATAACTTTTTTTTCCACTGGTAGTTGTGGAAATTGTGGTAAAATGCATAATATCTGATCAATAAACATAACAATAATTATGGAATAGATTTAAACAGATCCTAATCTTAGTGATTCAAGAGGAATTATGGCAATACCTATGTGAGAATGCTGTTCATTGACTACAGTTCAGCATTCAACACTATTGTTCCCTCCAAGCTCGACACCAAGCTCAGAGCACTGGGTCTGGACACCACCCTCTGCAACTGGATCCCGGACTTACTGACGGGCAGACCACAGGCTGTGAGGATTGGCAACAACACCTCCTCCTCACTGACTCCTAACACAGGGGCCCCCCAGGGGTGTGTCTTCAGTCCTCTGCTGCACTCCCTGTTCACCCACGATTGCGTGGCTTTACACAACATCAACTCCATAATCAAGTTTACTGACGACACCACGGTTGTAGGCCTGATAACCATCAACAACGAGTAAGCCTATAGGGAAGAGGTAAGTGACCTGGCATTGTGGTGTTATGACAACAGCCTCTCCTTCAACGTCAGCAAAACAAAGGAGATGGTTGACTTCCGGAAGCAGAGGAGGGAACATGCCCCGATCCACATCAACAGAACTGCAGTAGAGTTGGTCCCGTTAGGCTCAGTTGGTAGAGCATGGCACTTGCAACACCAGTGTTGTGGGTTCGATTCCCACGGGGGACCAGTACGAACAAATATGAAAATGTATGTACTCATTACTGTAAGTCGCTCTGGATAAGAGTGTCTGCTAAATGACTAAAATCAAAAAAAAAATGTCCAATGTTAAGTTCCTCGGGGTCCGCATCACCAAGGACTTGTCATGGACCAAAAACACCACCACTCTTGTCAAGAGTGCGCATTAGCGTTTCTACTTCCTAAGTCGGCTGAAGTAATTCGGCATGCCACCCCGAGTCATCTCCAAATACTACCGCTGCACCATCGAGAGCATCCTGATCGGTTGCATCACGGCCTGGTACGAGAATTGTTACATCCACGACTGCAAGGCCCTTCAGTGAGTGGTGAAGACGGCCCAGTATATCACTGGAACCGTGCTCCCACCCATCCAGGACATCTATTCAAAACGGTGCCTGAAGAAGGAATGCAGCATCATCAAGACCCCACACACCCCAGCCACGAGCTGTTCTCTCCCTTATCGTCGGGCAGATGGTATTGGAGCATGAGGTCGGCGGAGATGGCAGCCTCGCGACTAGCTCTTAGCTGTTAGGTCTGATACCAACAGGCTCAGAGACAGTTTCTATCTATAAACCATCAGACTGCTGAACACTTGAGCTGGACTGACCACCTGCTCTGATTCTCTGCACCTTAGCCCACATGCAATCACTCATGCACACAACCACACACATATACACTCATGCGACACACCAATATTACACTTTATATACAGTACCAGCCAAAAGTTTGGACCAGTGGCGGCTCCTGAAAAAATTCTCAGGGGGGGCAATTTTTCTGATGATTTAGGTGACCTACACACATTTAAAAAAAGATATGTCCAGCAACAACATGAAGACAGGGGCAGCATATAAGTCAATGCCAGAAGCATTTATTGACTGATCTCAAAAGTGTTGGCTTACAAAAGCAAAATAAGTTATCACAGTAAAAATAATCAAGGGTGTTCTTTCACATTCCTCAACACTGCATAAACAATATGCATTTCCATAAACAAATGAAATATCAGCTGAAAATACAGCATCTTGGTATTTGTTCAGATTGCAGGATCAACAAGAGCTTTTACCACATTTTTTGCCTCATGGTTGAATTGGAAATATGTGCACCTGAGCATAATTCACAACAAGCAAGCAGGAGCTTTTGATAGAGGCTACTGAAAACATTGATGCAAGTTATTGGTAATAAGAAATTTTTATAGACTTCCATATTCTGCCCTCTTGTATAGATTTGTGAAAATGAACAGTGATAGACATTTTGCCTGAAAACAGAATTTGAAAATAATTTATAGAAAAGGTAAACACAGCTATCTGTATGGCTTTGTAAAAATGAACAACCATATTCTGGCCAATTGTATAGATTTGTAAATATGAACAACCATATTCTGGCCAATTGTATAGATTTGTAAAAATGAACATGAACAGATTTTTTTTTTTTTTTTTTTAAATGAAAAATAACTATTTTAAACAACATCAACTGTGAACTGATTTGGGTGTGTGTGTGTTAAAGAGACAGACAGGGAGGGACAAAGAGAGAGAGAGGCTACATTACTTGTACTGAAACTGTTCTCTTCTCTCTTTCAATGCAGCAAAGCGGTCAATGACTTTCTCATTGAAATCAGGCATGCTGAGGACTAGTTCCCTCTCCATGGAAAGCATGGCCAGTGCATTCAGACGTTCCTGGCCCATTGAATTTCGCAGGAATGTCTTAACTCGTGTCAAAGTTGAGAAACATCTCTCAGCTTCAGCTGTTGTCATGGGAGTAGTTATGAGGATGTTCAACAGAGTCACAGTCTCAGAGAACGTCTCCTGGAGGTTGTAGCTCATGAGAACCTGGTACAGTGCCAGTTTACCACAGTTTGACTTTCTTGTCGAAAAGCAGTCTCTCCAAAAGCACACTGGCGATTGAGACTGAGGTTGATTCCGAGATGGGAAGGAACTCAAAAAAGCGCTCCTGCACTTTGTGGTTGCTATCTATGTACCTCAGCACAAGCACCAGCTGTGTCTGTGTAGAAACGTCCGTGGTCTCGTCAGCTTGGATAGCTACGAAGTTCGCCGACTTCACCTCCTCCACAATATGTTCCCTCATGACCGCTAGCATACACTCCAGTAGCTCGTTTTGAATGGTCTTTGATGTGAACTTCTTTCAAAGAGACAATCGAGTTGCACTGAACGCTAGCCATCTTGATAATAGTACGTGAATTGATTGACGCTGCTACCCGCTCTTTTCTTAGTTACGTTCATGGTTATGTTACGTATGACGAAAGCGCGTAAGTGCAAGCCCTCAGAAACCCATAGAGATTGTATTGAAAGCTCTGATATTTGAAAAAAAAAGATTTTACATGACAGGCTATGAGAGACTTCTGGGGCGATTTTCAACCTGACTGAAATCGCCCCAAAAGGGGCGGGGCCATTTGAAGCACGACTTTAGCCTGATTGGACATTTAGTGGCAGATCAGACGTCTAGATTAGAACACTGATAACTACTGTTGCCGTGATATAATTGATTAGAAAAAAAATCCCTTCCTTTTCCCGTTTGGCAGTGCGTCGCCCATATCACCCTAATGAACACACCGCCCCTGGTTTGGACACCTACTCATTCAAGAGTTTTTCTTTATATTTACAATTTTCTATATTGTAGAATAATAGTGAAGACATCAAAACTATGAACACATATGGAATCATGTAGTAACCAAAAACGTCATAAACAAATCAAAATATATTTTATATTTGAGATTCTTCAAAGTAGCCACCCTTTGCCTTGATGAAAATAGTCAAAATAAAGAAAAACCCTGGAATGAGTAGGTGTGTCCAAACTTTTGACTGGTACAGTACATCACAGAAGACTGATTTATTTTTATTTTTACGTTTGACATAGAAACACCGTATTTTCAGCTTTTTATTTTAAATAATCTTTATTAATTATGAAAAATATTAAAAACATTCCACCAATGAGGGCAAAGAGGGCGGTTTTAGTA